ATATTTTTTTACCATATTCTATGTATGTATACTTTTCTTGTATTCAAGACATTTTGTATATTGATACAATTTGGGATATTTATCATGCTGCCCTTTATAGTTCTACCTCTTTTGCTTGTCTTGACATTTCTACTCTACCTCTATTTTAGGGATTTATATGTATGTATATGTATATAGTTATATTGTTTAAGTATTTGTTCCTGCTTTACTCAGGGAAGTTTTAATCAGTTTTTTAGCTAAGTTCCTGAGTATTACAGATTATCTTCACTCATGTTTCCTGTACCTATGAGATTAGTCAGATATAGATGCTTAATCTTAAATCACTTCATAGACATGCAGAACATGGCATTTAAATGTTTTAATATTAGTACTCCGTTGACATGAGACACTGTTGCTCCTGACAGCACCGTGCACTTTCCCGAAAATATGTTGGACACTGTTGTTGCTCCTGCTGGAGTTCATTCTGGCCTCAGCTAATGGCCTGTTGGGCAAAGAACTGCCCCACCTTGACCACTGATTTGGACATGCAGTTCTATGTGCTTGCAGGAGACAAATATAGAAGACTGCAGGACCTTGCCAAGTCAGGGTAAGACAGCCATTCTACCTCCCTGCTATTGTTGTGGTCTGTCAAGTTCTCTTGGCCTTAGCCAAAACTGGGTGTACCAACGTTGCTGTGAGACCTAGGGTGACTGTCCAGGTAGCTTGCTGTTTCTGTCCTTGCTGCACCTTTTGGAAGTTGCCCATCCACTCTTCCTGTCTACTCTAGTATCATTATTTTCCTTCTCAGGTCTTGATGAGGTTGAAGATTAAACTATCACAACTATTATTCTTTTTTCCTAGTTAGATATATTAGGTACTAGACTTACGTTTTCCAGTTTAGGACAACTCTATTGTAAACTCCGTTATGCCTTCACCGTAGGACTAGATATGTAGGTCATTTTGTTCTCGATTTTCCTTTTCTTAGAGCACACTTGTTATTCACTGTTTTGTATATAGTTTTGTATTAAGCCTAAATCTTTTCTTTAGACTAAAAGGGGAATTGTAGTGAGATAGTCCTTCTGTGGCACTGACCACGCCCATTGGGGGTGGAGCCATGGGCGGAAGTGACCTGTGGAAGGAGGTCGGAGGAAGAGGGGGGGGGGAGCTCTTTTTGGCAGGACTCGGACAGGAGAGCATCGTGAAATTTCCTGGTGTTCATCTGTCTAGGTTGTAAGTTATTTCTCCCTGAATAAACATCTATTCGGCCTATTTGTTTATCCTGATCCTTATTTAACCGCGATAGTTTCTCTCTGTTCCAAGGAAAATCGCTCCCTGGAGATGATTCACAATGCATCCTCCTCCCCATTGGATCTGGTGTCCCTATTGCCTTGCACTACAAGTCAAGGCATTTCCTCTTGGGAGGAGATGAGTCTAGGACGTTAAGGGACACTAATATTCACGTGTCCTCATGATCACTGCACCCCTTATTCCCACAGATGGGTTGTCGTTGCTGACCATTTAATAGGTGACAGGTCCTCTGTGTGAGCATGAGTACACACCTGTGTTCCTGTGTGTGAAAGCCAGAGGAGGTTGTCCAGTGTCTTCCTCCATTGCTCTCCATGTTATTCCTTTGAGACAGCATCCCTCACTGAACCCAGAACTCACCATATTTAGACTACACTGTTGGCCAGCAAGTCCTAGCAATCCTGGCTCCATATCATCTCCATCCTCAAACTGGAGTTGCAGATGTATGTTGTGGGAAACAAGCCCACCCCCATTCTGTAATAAATTAAAGAGACTAGTGAAAGTGAGGCGGTTTGTTTAAGAGTTTCTCTGTGTAGCCCTGGCTGTCCTGGGACTCGCTCTGTAGATCAGGCTGGCCTCAAACTCAGAGCTCCACCTGCCTCTGCCTCCCGAGTGCTAGGATTAAGTGTGTGTGCCACCATGATGTGCTTAGACAGTTTCTAATATTCTGTAGAGCAGGGCACTAGCATTGTCAAAAGGCAAAGATGGCTGGTGCATTGATTTGGCAAAAGACAGTGGTTTTCTAAAGTCCCCAGTTCTGGTCCCCATTCCATAGGCTGACTCTGACAGTTACAATCTTCACGTTCTTCTAGCATAGCCTCCCCAAGCCCCCCACTCTGTTGGTTCAGGATGCAAAGCCTTATCTAATGAGTACCTGGGGCATGAAACTACCTTTTTTTCTAATCCTGGGCTCATTCACCTAGAAACTTCCCAATTCTCAGAGTTCCCTGACAAGTGGGCACTGTCTGCCAGCTAGCGGAGAGAGGAAGCCAGCTTTGCCTGTGCTCCTGTGGTTTCTTATGAGCCCTGAGCCTACCTCATACTGAGAATGGCCATCAGGATTCATTTTTTAGCATGTCCAGATTTCTACATGGGTACTGGGGATCCCAACTCAGGTCTTTATGATTGCACATCGAGCATTCTTAGCCACTGAACCATATTCCAACAACCCCACCTTCTTGAGTCTGGATCTTATGTAGCCTGGACTAGCCTCAGACTCTACACAGCCAAGGATAACCTTGAACATCTGATCCTCCTGCCTCAACCTCCCAAGAGCTAGGATTCTGGGTTTGTACTATTACAGACAGTTTACAAGCCATGGGTTTTGCCCATGGTCACTCAGATGCATGTGAACCAGCTACAGGAGTACCTAGCTTCCTTTTTCTCTGTCTACCCTGGGCATTCAAGCACCCAGCTGTGCCTTTGGATCATAGGACATCTGGTGTGTGTGTGTGTGTGTGTGTGTGTGTCACATTTCTGTGAGTCTTAAAATGATCACACTAAGCAAGCCACCAAATAGGACTCCTCTCCTATGTGTTCATGTTTAGTACAAGATCAATAGTAAGTGACTTTGTTAGTTTCAGCTGTCAACTTGACACATCCCAGAGTGGTTGTCTAAGGGAGTCATAATTGGGACACTGCCTGGAGACCATTGATGGGTGGCGGTGTCTGTGAGGAACTTGGTTTTGATTGCTGTGGGAGGGCCCACCTCTTTGTGGGTGGTGCCATCCCTGGGTAGGTGGTTTTGGGCTGTATGAGGAGGGAGCTGAATGTGAGGCTGGGAACAAGCAAGTAAGCAGTGTTCCTCCATGGCCTGTTGCAGTTCCTATCTTGACTTCTCTCAGTGATGGGTTGTGACCTGGAAGTATAAGTTACACAAAACAAACTTGAACAGAACAACAAAATGAAGTCTGTAAATCTGGTGCCCTCTTCTGGCCTCTGAAAGCATTGCACACATGGTGCACATACAGAAAAGCAGTCACACATAAATACATTTTTTAAAAATTATTTTATTGATTGATTGATTGATTGATAGGGTCTCGTTATGTAGCTCTGGCTGTCCTGGAACTCACTTAGTAGACCAGATTGGCCTCAGACTCACAGGGATCCTCTTGCCTCTGCCTCAGAGTGCTGGGATTAGAGGCATGCGTTACCATGTCCATTTTTTTTTTGTTTTTTTGTTTTTGTTTTTTTTTTTTTGTTTTGTTTTTATTTTCTTGTCAGTCCTGGGAACTGAACTTTGGACCCCATGCATGCTAGTCAGGCACTCTATCACTGAGCTACAGCTCCTGGACCATGTCCAGTTTAATGTGTTTTATTTTTACTTTTAAAAAGCATTGTGGTGGTTTGAGTGAGAATGGTCCCCATAGGCTCATAGACTTGAATGTTTGCTTACCAGGGAGTGGCGCTATTTGAAAGGATTAGGAGGCATGGCCTTGTTGGAGGAAGTGAGTCACTGGGGTGGGCTTTGGGATTTCAAATGCTTAAGCCAGTCGCAGTGTCTCTCTCTTCCTGGTGCCTGTGGATCTGGGTGTAGACCTCTCAGCCCCTTCTCCAGCACCATGTCTGCCTGCCTGCTTCCATGCTTCTGACCATGACGGCAATGAACCAAGCCTCTGTAACTGTAAGAAGCTCCAATTAAACGTTTTCTTTTTATGAGATTTGCTGTGGTCATGGTGCCTCTCTTGGTTTTGTTTGTTTGGTTTTTGTTTTTTTCTTTTTTCGAGAGAGGGTTTCTCTGTATAGCTTTGGGGCCTGTCCTGGAACTAGCTCTATAGACCAGGATGATTAAAGGTGTGCTACACCAATGCCCAGTTAGGTTTTTTTTTTTTTTTTTTTTTTTTTTTTAATGGTGTCTCTTTTCACAGCAATAGAACACTGACCAAGACAAATATTGGCAACGGTTTCTTACTGATCTTTAGTTGAGCTATGATGCTATCACCATTGCCACAGGGTGGAGGTTTGGTTGTGCTGAGACAGTCTCTCCAGTCTGTTCCCAAACTTCTGAGCTCAAGTGACCCTCCAGCCTCAGCCTCCAGAATAGTTGTGTAACAGAGGTGTGCCACTGCACTTACCCGTCAGAGAAATTTCCCCAAAGGCAGCTGTTTTCCCCCTTCTGGTGGCATAACTAGCACGTGTCTTCGTGGGATCATTTGCGACAGGAGGGAAGAAAGCATGAGCCTCTTAGAAGGATGTAGAAGGAAGAGCACTCATCCTCATCACAGGGATGTCTGTGGGTTTAACAGCCACCAGGTAGCCTGTTTTACATTGAGGTTAGGCTTTCCTGGGCTCTTCTGGTCTTTCTATATGAGCTGGGGGAGTTCACAGGATACGTGTGTGTGTGTGTGTGTGTGTGTGTGTGTGTGTGCGCGCACGTGCATGTGTGTTGTGTTTCAGTGGACCAGGGCTAGGGGGGACCTGCAGGCTGTTTGGATCCCTTCTTAGGTTCAATGGGGCTGCACAGGAAAGGTCACAGCCTGTGTCAAATGGAAAACACATTTCCAAGACCGGGCACCCTTCAGGGACTCTGGAGCTATTAACTCTAGGCCTAACGGGTTCATGGGAGCAGAGCACCCAGGAAGGTATCACCCTGGCAGCAGGGACTTCCTCCCACAAGGCTTCCGTCCTGCCCACAAGAGTAGTGAGTAGCCATTCAGAAAGAAGGCCACAGAGCTAGAGGTTTCACCCTGGCACTCAGAGGACCTGCGCCTGTCCCGGGCTTCCTCAGCTGGCCTCGGTGCCTCCAGATGCTTTCATTTTCTCAGTAGCTCAAGGAACAGAACTAAGAGAAGTCAGAACAAAACAGCTTGACACAAAGAAAAGCAGAAGTGAGGGCTCAGAGACTGACGGTCCCCAACGGGACTGACTGAACCGTGGAGGGCCCAACCGTGGCCTGGCGGCCAGTGACCGGGGTGTGGAAGAAATGGCCCGACTAGCCTCAGCTGTGTGGCTACCCACACTGCTGTGGCTGCTGCTTTTCAGGCTTCCAGGTGAGGAGGCTCTCTGCTCAGGAGGGTGGGAGGCCTCAGGGAAATGCCACGTCAGGCACCAGAACCTGGATCCCTCTGTGCACAAAGCTGAATGTGACAGCTTCATCCTCTGTGTAAGGTGGACAACCGAAGGTCCACACTACTCAGGGCAAAGGGGCAGGATCCTGCTAAGCACCCAACTGCCAGAGCAAGCAAGGCACAAGTCCTACACAGTGAGGGCTGGTGGCTGCCCAGAAGGGGTGCCAAGAGGAATTTTGGATGGGTTAGAGTAGGAAAGAGCGAGCCTGGTAATGGTGTCACACGCCTTTAATCCTAGTACTCAGGCGGATCTCTGTGAGTTCGAGGCCAGCCTGGTCTACAGAGCGAGTTCCAGGACAGCCAGGGCAACACAGAGAAACTCTGTCTCGTAAAACCAGAAAGTAAATAAACAAAAATAAGAAATAGGGAAGAGGGCATGGTAGGTGGTGCCAGTGTGTGGACAGCGGCATGACCGGGGGCCATGAGAGATGTGTGTTGTTGGTGAGGTATGTGGACAGATTTAGTCTGTTCTTTCTTTCCTTCCTCCCTCTCCCCCTCCCTCCCTTCCTCCCTCCCTTGTTTTGTTTTGTTTTCAAGACAGGGTTTTTCTGTTTCTCTCTGCTGTTCTGGAACTCTGTAGACTGGCCTGGCCTTGAACTCCGAGATCTGTCTGTGCTGGAATTAAAGGCATGTGCCACTATGCCCTGCTAATCTTTTTCTTTTTTTTCTTTAAAGATTTTCTTTTTCTTCCCATGCGGTGGTGGCGCACACCTTTAATCACAACACTCTGGAGGCAGAGGCAGGTGGATCTCAGTGAGTTCAAGGCCAGCCTGATCTACAAAGTGAGTTCTAGGACTGCCAGGACTATTACACAGAGAAGCCCTATCTTGAAACATGTGTCACCATCACCACCACCCCCCTCCCCGAAAAAAATTATTTTGGGGACAGGCTTCACTGTGTAGTCCTGGAACTTACTATGTAGACCAGGCCAACCCTAAACTCACCGAGACTGCTTTCCTCTACTTCTACAATATAAGGATAAAAAAGAAAGGTGAAGTAGACAGCTTTTGGCAGGCCCTGCCAAGGTATGCCGTTAAACAAACACGCTACTTGCAACAGAGTTAGTACAAGAAGTTCATTTGGGGAGGGGGAGAGTGAAAGGCCAAAGGCCATGTTGGAGTGGGGACATAAGACAGACAGGCAGACAGACAGACAGACAGACTGGCAGAGGACAGGGAAGAGAATCAAGAGACAAGAGAGGCAAGAGAAGAGGAGAGAAAAAGAGGCTGTGCCTGGAGGGCACTTTTAAGGTGCGCTCATGTCACACAGGAGGAGAGGCACCTGGTGACAGGTGATGTACCTTAAGTGCTTTGGTGGCAGATGCGGGCTGCCCCCTTGGTGGAAACTAACAGAGGGCTGGGATAAAAGGTGTGTACCACCACACCCCACACACGTCTTTATTCTTTGAAAATACAATGTAGTTTGGTCATCTCCAACCCTCACCCTTCCTCCAACTTCCCCCAAGTCTACCCCAACTTCCTATTGTTATTATTTCTTAAATAACCATTGAGTCTGACTAGAACTGCCTCTGGTTTATCCACTGGGGCAGAGGCACCCTATAAATGGCCACCCCCCCAAAAAAAGGAATCTCTAATCCAGTCACTCTGGGGTCAGGCAGGCAGATCTCTGAGTTTGAGCCTCATCCACAGAGGCCAGCCAGGGATACATAGAAAAACCTTGTCTCAAAAGAGACCCCAAAAAAAAAAAAAAAAAAAAAAAAAAAAAAGATAAACAAACATTGGTTGCATCTGAGTTTACGCACTCGCTTATAAAAGAGTGAAAATCATCTTGGCTATTTTTTCTTTCATTTGTTTGGGTTTTCTTTTTCCTTCAGGATTTAAGGAGAGTAGTTGAAAGCACCATGCTGAGGGGCAGAGCTGGAAGGTGGAAAGCTAGCCATCTTCTGGGGGGGGGGTAGGGATGGGCTGGGGGAAGCATCCTAGCAGTCTGGGAAAGGAGCACCTGAGTTTGGATCCCAGCATCCACTTAAAAACTGCACTTGATTTGTATCTAAAACCCCAGAGCTGGGGGTGCAGAGTCGAGCAGGACTTGATGCCTCCTTCTCGTCTCTGCAGGCACCATGCTCCTGAACACAAACCTGCACACAAACACATATGCACTTAATTGAAAATAAAAGTGAAGTGGTCGAGAGATGGCTCAGTGGTTAAGTGCACTCACTGCTCTTTCAGAGGACCCGGGTTTGGTTTCCAGAACCCATTCTGGGCATATGGCACCCTCTTCTGGCTTCCAGAGGATCCTGCATGTAGGCATGGGGTGCACATAAACTCACACAGGTACACATAAACCCACAAATTCAATAAACCTTAAAATATAATCTTCAAAAACAACCTCAAAATCAGCAAGGTACACCTGTGTTGAGAGAGCAGACCCTCCCATTTTCTGCCCATTCCCCAACTCCCCTTCCTGGTCACAGGGTCATGAGGACATTGTGGGAGCGGGGCATTCATACAGCAGGCCACTCTCTTCTGCTCTGGCTCGTAACCCTGAGGGGGGACCACACGGGGGTGGCTATTCTCCCAGGTCTTGGGATGCCCAGGGCTGCCATGTTTGAAAACGGAGGCCCTAGTGGGTGGGAGGGACTGGGGGATCAGGGTTGAAGGAAGGAGCAGGCCAGAAGGGAGGGAGCTAAGGGGTGATTGGCTGATGGGAGGTGAAGGGATGCAGAGTGGAACTTTTGGAGACCCACACCCCATCCAGCTGTGAGGGTGCAGAATTCGGCTTGTGTTTTCCAGGCTGTGTCCCTCTTCGTGGCCCCAGCTCTGTGATAGGCACTGTGGGAGAATCCCTGAGTGTGGAGTGTCATTATGAGGAGAGATACAAGGCTCATAACAAATACTGGTGCAGAGTGTCACTGCTGCTCTGCAAAGGTATTGTCAAGACGGGAGCCTCAAATGAAGCTAGGAAAGGCCGAGTGTCCATCAGGGACCATCCAGCCACGCTCACCTTCACAGTGACCTTGGAGAACCTCACCCTGGAAGATGCAGGCACCTACATGTGTAGTGTGGATATACCGTTTACCAATGGCTCCTGGTGGGAGATCACTCCCTCCTTGGGGATTGATTCTTCCTTCAAGGTGGTGGTGTCTGTGGTCCCAAGTAAGCACCCAGGTGAGTCCTCCTAATGAGCACTATAACACCACAACAGTCGCAAAGTAGCAGGGATTTCTGGGGCAGGAATCAGCTGAGGGCCTGAGAGTACATCGTATGTGGTGGGTAAATGGAGATGAGGGACAGACAGGGAGAGGGCAACAGCCACAGAGGCATCCTGGAGTAGCTGCATCTTGTGCGGGAGATGCTGGTCCATTAGGGGATGGGAGGCAGAGAGAGCAGAGTATGGCCAGGATAGAGCTCCGTGTCCTGTGGCTTGATGAATAGAAGCTAGACTTCTGGGTGTATTGGGGGCCTGAGCAGAGGGTCAGTAGGGGGCGGACGGTGACAGTGCTGCATGCTGGGGGATCTTTCGCTAGTGACCAGCCATCTTTGCAGTTAGTTCTCTTTGGCAGGGTGTGGCTGAGGCTGGAGGACATCAGACTCAGCGTGTGGTTTTGACTCGGGTGAGTGGTGGGTGGCAGCTGTGTCCTGTGTGCAAATGATCACCTGATCTAGGAGGATGCTCCTTCCTTTGCTGATGTATGCCTGTGATCTTAGAACTCTGGAGGCAGAGGCAGAGATCACAAGTTCAGCACAGCCAGGGCTGTGAACCCCACATGGAGACCTTGCCTCAAAAAGTAAAGAAAAAAGGAAAAGGAGGAAGAATGGAGAAGGAAGGAAAGGATGCAGGGAGGAAAGACGCCACTGGCCCGTAGCAGAGTCTGAGGAGACTCCCTAGGTCTGATCTGTGGTTTTATCTTCAGGATCAACACCGCGGACTCCTGCAATGACCACCAGCCTATCCACCAGCCTGACCACCAGCCTGGCCACCAGCCTGGCCACCAGCCTGGCCACCAAAGGTCCCACCCAAGGATCCACCATGAAGGAGCATCCTGAACCACAGGGCTTGAGGTGAAGTACCCAATCCCTGGTCTTCAGGTGGCCACCCCAGCTGTGTGGTCCCCTCAGGAGAAGGGTTTCCAGAACTGTGAGGGCTTGGGGTAAGAACCCTTGTTTCCTGACTTGAAGGTGGTGGCCCTTCTCCTCAGAGGGGCTTAAGTAGGCACTTGGCTATCTGCTGCTGTCATACCCCTCTGCCTAGAACCTCCTGTGCCATTGGCTCCAGTCCAGGTCGGAGGCCATGGGTCACTGAGCACGCTAGGCCTGCCGATGCCGAGGGCAGGGAGAGCTCAGGCTGAGGAGGACAGAGTGTGATGGAAGGAAGGAGGGTAGCATGACAGGCGCCGGCGTCCCCTCAGGCATGGCTCAGTGGTTCATAGAATGTTCTCTGGCTCAGTGGTTCATAGAATGTTCTCTTTCGCGCCTCATGCTGATCTCTATGCTACCAGGTTGTCTCAGGTGTTTTCCTGTGGCGGTGATAAAACACCCTGACCAGGACAACTGAAAATAGGAAGCGTTTGCTTGGGCTCACAGTTTCAGAGAGCTAGAGTCCATGGCCATCATGGTGGGGATCATGGCGGCAGGCAGGCGTGGTACTGGAGCAGTAGCTGAGAGCTCCTGTCTTTTTTTGGGGGGGGGTTGTTTGAGACAGGGTTTCTCTGGCTTTGGAGGCTGTCCTGGAACTAGCTCTTGTAGACCACGCTTGTCTTGAACTCACAGAGATCTGCTTGCCTCTGCCCCTCCAATGCTGGGATTAAAGCATGAGTCACCATCACCTGGCTCATGTTTTTTCTTTAAAAAAATAATTTATTTATCCTTATTTTATGTACATTGGTGTTTTGTCCACATGTCTGCTTGTGTGAAGGTGTCAGATCTTAGAGTTACAGACAGTTGTGAGCTGCCATGTGGGTGCTGGGAATTGAACACAGGTCCTTTGGAAGCTGAGCCATCTCTCCAACCTGAGAGAGCATGTCTTGAGACATAGCCACAAGGCAGAGAGAGCTAACTGGGAATGGTGTGGGCTTTTGAAACTTCAGAGCCTGCCCTCCAGGGACATTATCTCCCACAACAAGGCCTACCTCTTAATACTTTCCAAAAAGTTTCTCCAATCGGGGATCAGGTATTTGAATGTGTGAGCTTATGGGGGCCATTCTCATCCAAATTATTATACCATGCTAATGTTCAGATGACTAAACTGAGGCTCAGAGGGCTAAGAAATCTGCCCAGGCGCATAGCTATTAAAGACAATGCAGGGCTGGGCTCGGGCTTACATGACTCCAAATTCTTGGGTTCCCCCTTCTAGATATTAGGGAGTCACCAACTCCATAGAGAAACTGAAAGTAGCTACAGACTCCCCAGAACACTGCGTGCTGGCACCAACCATTTCCAGGGTTCAGACTGTCCACTCTGACCCCATTGGGATCCTATAGGCTGAGAGCTCTGGCCACCTGCACTTGTAGCTATCAATGTTGAGGCTCCCATGATCCTCTTGGGTTCAGGAACTCACTAGAGTCTTCACTGATAGAAATTATTTTATCATAAAAGATAAAGACCATGAGGAGACCAAAAGAAAGCCAGCAAGGCCAGACTGAGAGAATCCTAAGAAGTGTCCCAGGACCCCCTATCTGAGGCAGGGTCAGGGTGCATCACCCCAGGGGCCTCTGTGTGTTTCCACCAAGAGCTCCCCGTCTCCTTCTCACGGTGTTTTCTGGGGTCTCATGAAGCAGGGCACTGCAGGCTGAATTGCTGGCACGGGGGTGAACTTGTCTCCAGCCCCTCCCTCCCTGCAGGCTTGTGGGAGCACCTGCCGCATCTCTGACCCCACATTGGTCCCTGGCCAGCAGCCCTCATTCTGACATCTCACTCTTAGCTCTACACAGGCCCGTCTAGACTTCTGACATTATGACACAATGTTGTTGTCATCGGTAAAGTAAGAGCCATGCAATCAAGTTACAAAAGCATGGGGAGGGAGAATCCAACCACCCCACCTCACCGTACTTTAATTTACAATTTGGTGTTGGGCTGTATTTACTATTAGGCAGGGCCAAAAAATGGGGTCTATAGACCGAGACCTGGACACTCCTGTAAGTACCACTCAAACGCTCACAAACAACAAAGGGGACCTCTTAGCAATTTCCCCAGCAGGGGCGTCCAACCTGCGGACGCTGTGACATGATGTCACAGTTTACAAATGTGTTGACCACATTCAGAGTTATCTTGGGACACGTGTGGCCTCTCTCCCAGGGCCCAGGGCCTGTCCTCTCCCTACTACCCCGCACCTGGAAACCTTCCTAAACATTTTCTGCCAAGCAGGAGGCACAGTGTGATGCTAGGCAGGGCAAAATGCAGGGCCCAAGCATGCTGCTCCTGGAGGTTAGCCTACAGATGTTCAAGGCAGGCAGAGCCCTGCGTTGTTGGGTCTGAAAGAAGTGTGTGTATGTATGTATGTATTTTTGAGATGAAGTTTGACTACACAGCATTGGCTATCCTGGAGCTCACGGTGTAGACCAGGTTGGCCTTGAACTCACAAAGATCCACTTACCTCTGCCTCCTGTGCACTGGGATTAAAGTTGTGGATCAGCACTTCCAGCTTCATACAATTGTATTGTTATTACCACGTGTGAGTGAATGTACATATGTGCACAACTTTCAGGAGTCAGTTCTCTCCATCTGGGCTCTGGGGCTTGAACTCATGACCTCGGGCTTGCATTGCAAGTGCCGTCTCACTGATGCTTTTTTTTTTAAACACTGATTTCATGTATCTGTTTTGAAAGTCAGGGCCTGAGTAGAGCACTTGGCTGGGTTGAATGAGGCCTGGGGTTTGATTCCCCTCACTGAATAACTAACTCCCTCCCCTAAAGCCTCCCGGTGCTGCTGTCTGTGTTAGCTCTGCTGCTGCTCCTCTTGGTGGGGACCTCTCTACTAGCCTGGAGGATGTTCCAGAAGCGTCAGGTCAAAGGTGAGTTAACTTCCTGTGTCCTTCTGTCCCTTCTCCAGGGTGGGTGGGTTCTGGCCAGTCTTTTACCTTCAGTGCTCCGTCCCCAGTTTGGTTACACACCTCCAGAGATGGTTCCCCAGAGGCCTTTCTGCTGGGGCTTGAGTGGTTGGGGGCAGTGTCTTCTTCGGTTTAAAACCTTTAGTGGCCTCCCACACAGTCGTCTCTGAAGGGTTGCTACCCCCCCCCCCCAGTGAGCCCTGCCAGCCCACCCCTCCTTTCCTTCTTACCACATTTGTTTGTGAGGCGGGAGCCTCAGCCTCTCTCCTGAGCTTACTCAGCGTGTTGAAAGTGCCTCCCCTGGCCTACTCCCGAATCTCCAAGTGATACCCTCCGATTTCCTGTTTTTGGACTTTTTCTGTGAGGGCGTAAGGCCCTCCTGAGTGTTCCCCTGAACCTTGGCTATCATGGTTCTTTTGTATTAGATGGTTCTCATCAGGCATCCCTGGCTGCCATCTCATGTAGCCCGTGCACTGCTTCAGGCCGGGGCCATGGCTGGACTCACTATTGGGTTTGGTGTCTTTAGCCCCACAGGCACCCCAGGAAGCTCCTGGGGACCTGAAGTCCCACCCTCCCCGAGTTCACATTGACAGACAGGACTTGCACAGGCTGTGGCAGCAAACATATTCCCAACGAATCCAGAACCACGAGTAAGCGCAAGGACAGAGGGACAGAAGGACAGACGGGAAAGGGCCGGACCTCTTCCAGGGGAGCTGCTATCTTCCTTCCTGGGCTGAGACTTCACGACCCTATGAGCAAGGGGCCCTCGGGGCCATCTTTGTTCATGTTCCTGGAGCCTCTTGAGGCTTCAGTGAGCAATGTAGTAGCGGAAATGTGGCCATGCTGTCCCTCAGCTGCTGACAGAGCTACTGTATGCTGTTGCTGGTAGGGTACAGGGACCCCAGACCTCAGCCTCAACTCTGGCTGCTCCTGGAGGCTGCCCGTGGAGCAGAGGCCACCTCAGATGATCATGGTACGGAAGGGGAAGCCGCTTTCTCTTTCTAACTGGGCTCTGTCTCTGAAGTCAGGGTTTCTCTGTGTAGCCGTGGCTGTTCTGGAACTAGCTCTGTAGACCAGGCTGGCCTCTAACCACCTGCCTCCGCCTCCCGAGTGCTGGGATTAAAGGTGTGCCCCACCACTGCCTGGCCCTCCAGTCTCTCTTGGGGAAGGGGCTGTAACCAGAAAAATAAAAGACCCAGAGACAGATCCTTCACGCTGATGATCAGAAAAGCAAAGCAGCCGGTCACTAGCTCTTACCTCTACCTCAGCTTAGACCAAAGGGTCCAGACTTGACTGCTCCTCAGACTGCTATGCTCTCCTCAGTGTGGTTAGTAATCTCAGACTGCCTCTGCCTTTTATCTCAACTCCTGGGATTAGAGGCGTGAGCTCTGATTCACTCTCCCGTAGCCCAGGGTGGTCTTGGACTCAGAGATCTGATAAAAAGTGTGTGCCACCACCACCACCTGGCCTCTATAGCTACCTAGTGTGTCTGGCTTTGCTTTCTGTACCCTCAGGCAATCTTGAATAAATCTTAAATGATATTTCATCACAGGGGGCCCCTGAGCTGCAGCTGTCATGTGGTTCCACTAACAGCATGGGACTTTCCCAGTTTGGACAGCTCCAGCTCTGTGAGTCCCAGCGCACCCGCTTGGGTGCCCTTTCACCCAGAAGCACCGTGGCCCCGCACCCGCTTGGGTGCCCTTTCACCCAGAAGCACCGTGGCCCCACACATAGCTTCCCCTTTAAGAAAGATATGAGACTCTGTGAGTGGGTTCGTGTGATCCCTGTGCCTGGGGACAGAGGCAACAGGACTGTAGTGAGTTCAAGGCCAGGTGGTACTATGTAGGGGAAACTCTGCCTCAAACAACAACACCAAAAGGACAGGGTGAGGAGAGAATTGCTGTAGGAAACTTGAAAGATATACGAAAGCAACGGAGGAAAGTTATATAAGGTACATGGTAAGTCATAACCCCAGCTCCCAGAAAACCAGCCACTGTAGTTGGGTGTGCAAGGTCTTTCTCGTCTTATATCTCTGCCAATACAATTCCTTTAAAATGACCCCCCCCCAAAAAAAAAGGAAAAAGAAAATGGGGAGAAAAATATTTACAGGCTGGGCAGTGCTGGTGCACACACCTTTAATCCCAGCACTCGGGAGGCAGAGGCAGGTGGATCTCGGTGAGTTCAAGGCCAGCCTGGTCCACAGAGGGAATTCCAGGACAGGCTCCAAAGCTACACAGAGAAATCCTGTCTGGAAAAATCAAAAAAGGAAAAATAAATCCATGTTCTAATTATGTGTTTATGCGTGTCAGAGGTCAGATGTGAGCATGGATCCCTTGGAACTGGAGTTACAAGCAGCTGACCAACGTGGCGGCCCCTGGGAACCGAACTCAGGACCTCTGGAAGAACAGCCAGTGTTCTTAACCTCTGAGCCATCGAGAGATGGCTCCCCTCCCCTCCAAATGTGTGATTTCCTAAAGATCTTGCTTCATGGCCAAGGTGGCACATCCCTGTACCATCAATACTTGGGAGACTGAGGCAGGAGGATTAGGAGAGCTTGAGAGCAACCTGGGCAACATAGCAACACCCTGCCCCCTCTTCAAACACTTCCCACCACTTAAACCTGTAATTTTATACTTAACACAGTACAGCATCTCCACTACTATGGAATGTTCTAGAAATCACAGACAGGCCTATGGCTGAAGTCTCCAAGAAAAGTCTTTCTCAAAGTATAGCACATTCTCCCCCCCCCCCTTACTTTTGCCTGTGGTTTTATCACCTTCGCTTTCTCTCTCTAGCTGATAACTATCCAGAGCTGTCCCAGAACCTCAGGCGCATAAGGGAGCTGCATCAGGAGGTGAGCCAGAGAATCTGGGTGGGGAGGGGCAGAAGGAGGCTGTCAGGGAGCCCCTGGGCTGGTAGAAGTGGCAGGTCTATTACAGGTGGATGGAATTGTTCCAGAGCCGGAGAACAGCACCTGGAGATCTAGTGATCAACTCTTGTCCTACGTTCTGTCCAGTCTGTTCCCCTCTAGCCGGGACAGCGGACGTGGATAAAGGGGGTGGTCCTAGGATAAAGGGGGGTGATCCTAGAGAGGACAGGGTGAGGGCAGAGGGAGAATGGGAAGACCAGAGTCTGGGGTGGGCGGGAGATGCCTTCAGAGGAGCAGGGCAGGGGCATGGAAGGGAGGGACTCTGTGGATGACACTTGGCCTTCCTTGTGCAGGCTGCTGACCAGAACGAGTCGCAGTATGTGAACCTGCAGCTGCACACATATCCCCTGAGGGAAGAGCCGGCGCTGCCGAGTCAGGTGGAGCTAGAATACAGCTTGGTGGTAAGTCTGAGAACCAAGCTCCCTCAGCCTGAGGATGGTGGGCCGTGCAAGGGTACCACTCAGGGGTGGGGGAGGACAGAAAGGCATTGGGCACTGGCTCAGGATGGCAGTGTAGGCACGGGGCGAATGGAGTAGGGAGTGGGATTATAGGGTGGCCAGCACCTAAGGCCCTCATGACGGTCAGTAAGTCAGAGCCTGCTGTCTCTCCTTAGGGGTGGGCCCCTCATCTCTTTGGTGTTAATTCTCCTTTAGAGGTGTGCTCAAGCCTCAGACCTCGTTACCTTCAAACAGGAGGATGGGGTAGGTGGCCTCCTTGGGTGTGACCTGCCATGAAGAGGCTTTCTGGGGAGACACCCCCCCCCCCCAGGCTCAGAGCCTACTGGGTTCTTCTCAGGTGCCCTGAGGGATGTCATAGTTTGGTGGCAGGAGATGGGGACATACACTGATCTGTAAAAAGTGGCTCATCTCCCTGGATGTGTCCACTGCGGCCCCATTCAACCCAGGCTGCTGACCCCTGCCCCTGCCCCATGAGAGGAATAAGGAAGGGTTCTGTTCCACATCCGTTCTGGATCCCCAAGCTATGACTTCTCCCAACTTGTGCCAGCGTCTTTTTTTGGTTTGTAAATGATTCATTTCCATTCATTTCTTCCCAGCGCCCTCTCAGTCTGGTTCTCCCACATCACCTCTTCCTGCCTAGCTATTGGCCAGTCAGCTCTTTATTAAATCAATGAGAGCAACACATCTTCACAGTGTGCAAAAGGATTATTCCACAGCCTGGCATTGCCTGGTAGCTGATGACTGCAGAATAGGTTGGAAGCTAACTTCCTTTTCCCCCTGGGACAAGTAAGCCTGTGACCAAGCAGAACCAGTAAACCTTAGAACTGGTGTGCCATTGTGGCTACCTCTGCTGGCCTTCCCACCGTGACTTTTACAGGCGGGCCATTGAGTCCAGTTCTGGGCAGTTGAGGGGTGTGTGGACTCTTCTTCTCTGAGTCTGGGGTCTCTCCCCACAGGCATTACCCAAGGAAGAGCTCCACTATGCATCAGTGGCATTTGACTCACAGAGGCAAGGTTCTCGTGACAATGGGAATTCCTCTTGCCTGACCCGGGACCAGGAAGCAGAATACAGCCAGGTCCGGAAGCCCAGGAAAGGCCTCTCTGACCCTTACCTGTGACTCTCTGTCACCTGATCCCCTCAATGGTGACCATCAGGTCACTGAGCTCCCGGCAGGCTGCTGCCTTCAAAGTCATAGGCCTAGCTGGCTTCACTCAAGATGGGCAGGAACCAAGGCTCTGTGGGGACAGAGGCATGTCCCACCGACTGTTCTGCCTCTGGGTATGGAAGATGTAGCCGCTGCATCCCTTGGGGCTTTGAGAAGTGACATGGTTCATACAGAATGACATCGGTGTTAGCTTTGTAGCGTCCACCCCAGCAGGAACATCGGTGATCTCTGTGGGATGTGGAGAACCAGCAAGGGACCATGACAATAGGAATTTGGAGTCCTGGAGGCTAAAAGCACCATCTCCCCCATCTCAAAGACAACTGAAGCCAAGCTCTGAGGAGAGGAGCCTAGCACATGGCTCCAAGGTCAGGGGCAAGCTCCTCTGGACTCTTAGGTAAAAGACGAAATAAAGTTTAAAATATCTTCTTAAGGGGAGGAGAAGAAAATTGCTTAAATGATGTCTGCTGTCTGCCCGTAGCCCCATATTAAAGCACAGCTTTGAAATCAGAGGAGCCTTGGGACACAAGGGCTTGGGCAGGATGTGTCACCACTGGGCTGTTCCCCTGTGGAACACACAACAGTCTTTTCTTACCAGGGTAACTTTAAACTTGAATCCAAAGGGGACTGTGAGTGTTTCCAGCATGCAGCAGCCGCCAACGGCTTGAAAACCATGTCTGACACAGTGATTTTCCTTATAACCCTTCACATTGCTCCAGAAGCAACTTCAAGGGTAAGTAAGTCATCTCCAAAGAGCGGAGAGATGATGGTTATTGGAGACTTCTTTGGATTTTTGTTTTTTAAGACTGGATCCTTTATAGCCCAGGCTAGCCTTGAACTTGCTGTGCTCAAGGATGACCTTGAACTTCTGATTTTCCTGCCTCTATCTACCCAATATTTTCAGTGCTGGGGAATCTAGACCTAGGGCATCCCGAATGGGAGTCTTCCCCAGGCTGGACACTTTAGATTTCAGTTCATGCACCTCACCCCCCCCCCCACGTGTCATCCCATGAGTCATCCCAGATACTTCTCTTGCTTCCTGTGCTAATGTTCTGCGACACAAAAGGGGAAGAGACATGCACACGGAGATGGATGCCCAGAAGCCACAGTGTGGGGGAAGCCTGGGGGAGGGGCATAGGGTCTGTGGTGCTCACAGAGCACTGGTATGCTTTCAGCTCTGTCCCAGGCCTCAGCCCCAAACCTACCAAAGGCTCTTTCCACTTGAAAAAGCAGCGGGCCCTGGATCGTGCAGATAGGACTCAAGAGCCTTAAGGGGGAAGTGGGGAGGCCGTGGCCGAAAATAGAGTGCTGGGCCCAAAGACAGTGAAGGCTCGTGACTAACCTGGACTGCCAACAAGGAGGGGTGGGCAGGAAAGCAGAGCACACTTCCTGTGTGAGTCACTCATTGTGGGAAAGCCCAGGTGCCATGTGTGCAAGCACCTCCGGAGAGTGCGTCTCTCCCTTCAGTTTCTTCTCCTTCCCTGGGGCTTCTCTCCTGGCTGCCTGGGGCAGGTCAGCCCAAAGGCAGCTTTCATTCATTCATTCACTTGCCCATCCATCCATCCATCCATCCACTTACCCATTCATCCGCTTACTCATTTATCCAACCATCACTCAACCATCCATCCCTTCATTCACCCATTCATTTAATGTATTTCAGTCACTCATTGCAGAGCATTCAGGGATCTGTGCCATGACAGGCAGAAGGCTGGACACCAGGAAGCAGGGGACAAAGCCCCTGACCCACATGGACTTTTGGGTTGACAGGGATGTGGACATGGCCCTCTCTCTACTCACCTCTCTACTTCAGTGGACAGTGGAGGAGTGTCTCTTCAGATTTGGTTCTCTGTACACACATGTACCAGAGGACAATTCCCTGTTAAAGAACAGAAAACCTACAGGGTGGTGGTGCACACCTCTAATCCCAGCACTCAGAAGGCAAAGGCAGGCGGATCTCTGTGAGTTTGAAGCCAGCCTGGTCTACAGAGTGAGTTCCAGGACAGCCAGGGCTACACAGAGAAGCCCTGTCTTGAAAAACCAAAACCAAAAACATAAAAGCCAGACGCTTCACATTCATATTGAAGAGTGGCTGTCGTGATTGCCGAGGAGGCTCAGTGGGGAAAAGTGCTTGCCACACAAATGTGAGGACCTGAGTTCGATCCCCAGAACCCACGTACAAAGCTGGGCATGTGGTCAGCTAGAAGGCTCAGTGGGTGAAATGCTTCCTGCCACACCAGTCTGGCAACCTGAGTTTGGTCCCCAGAACTCATGTGAAGATGGGAGGAAACGGCTTACCCCACAAAGTTGTCCCCCAACCTCCACAGCATGGCACATGCGTGCCCTCCTCCAAGTAATAACTTCAAATTGTAACAAAAACAAAATTGAAAAGTAGGATGTGTACCAAGAGAGCCTGTAATCCCAGCCCCGCATCAGCAACACAGGACCCCGAAGCTTGGAGGCCACCTAGCAGTGTGATAACAGTGTGAACTACAAAGAGACCACACCTCAAAGGGGGTGGACCACACCCAAGATTGCCCTCTGACCTTCACACGTGAGCCTGCATGCACACAAAGGAACCACACACAATGGCCATCAGGGTCCATGGTCCCGTTGGTTCAAAAGCTAAGGTGATGGATCCCTATTGCGGTAAATAAGGATCAGGATAAACAAATAGGCCGAATAGATGTTTATTCAGGGAGAAATAACTTACAACCTAGACAGATGAACACCAGATTCAACCCAATCCTCTCCTGTCTGAGTCACGCCAGAAAGAGAGAGCGCCTTCCTGGCCCCTTCCGACCTCCTTCCTCAGGTCACCTCCGCCCATCGCTCCACCCCCAATGGGCGTGGTCAGTGCTACAGAAGGACTATGTCACTACAGATCCCACATCTTCTTTAGTCTGGGCTTGGAGCGAAGCAGGAGACAGAGTCCAGGGGGATGGCCTTTATCTCACACCCCCATGGGGAAGCATGTTTTCCATTGAGAAGAGGAAACAGGGATCCAGCCATGAACCTCAGCAATGCCATCTGACATGTCCTTTTCCTGGGGAGATGTGAGCAAACATTAGCCACCCCACATAGGGCTCAGCCCAAAAAAATAACGCATCCCAGTCCAGGTTGATGAACCAATGAGCTCACTGGGTTTCCTTACAGAAGCAAGGGTGCATCAGTCAAAAAAAGTCCCACTCAAGTAGAGAGATACAGGTCTCCCCAAAATCTCTGTATGTCGAATACCCTCCCCCACACTTGAGCTAATTTCCCATCTCCTATGTACTCCAGCCCCTCCTCACATGCAGGTGGACAGAATTATGTGCAAATGGCAGGGAGGGAACACCCATGGGGGAACAGCTGGGATCTCAGGCGAGGGACTGATGGGGATGCTTGATAAAGTCTCACGAACGTGGGCAATTATAGCTGCTGTGCCTTCAAGATGGCGGTGGCCGTGTCATGGCCAGGACAATGTTCTTCAACATCTCTAAGGAGTACTGTTTGTCTTTGTGTGTGCGCGTTGTGTGTGTTAACAGGAAGTTGTCAGATCAAAATGGAATCATTTCTGTCAAACCCTAACAGAGTCCACTTTCTATTTTTTTCTGGAGCTTTTGGGTAGGATCAAGTGCAAGCTCCAGGAGACTGGGTCAGTTATAGGAAAAAGGGTTATCTGGCTTAGTGTTTTGAAGTCTGGGAGGGCCAATTAGGAGACTGAGTTGGGAAAGAGCCTTCTTGCTGATGGAGGTTCATCAGAGTCTACAGTCAGGATGGGGCTTCAGATAGGGAGAGGGACACATAGCAGGACCAAGGTGTGTATGTGGAGATCCAGGGACAATTTGGTAGGAGTCAGTTCTCTCCTTCTACCATGAGAGTTTCAGGGATTGAATTCATTGTCAGGCTTGGCAGCAAGTGCCCTTAGCCACTGAGCCATCTCATCTCACTGGCCCAACAGACCTATTTATTTATTTATTTTTAATGAGCGTAGCACCAGAACTCACCCTTTAGACTAGGCTGTCCTTGAACTCAAAGGTCTACCTACTTCCCGGATGAGGGGATTAAAGTATGCACCACCATACCTGGCTCCCAACATACACCTCTTCTTGATATAACTCATTTATCCAGTAATCTATGTCCTAATCCCACCCTCTTTCTCTCTACAGTCCTGGTAATTGAACCCAGGTCCTCAAGAATGCTTATCAGGTACCCTTCCATTCAGCCCTGTCCCCAATCCTCTCTTTAATGTTTTATTTAGAGACCAGGTCTTTCCTGCTAAATTGCCCAGGTTGGTCTTTAACTCACTCTGTAACTCAAACAAGGTCTTGAATTTGCCCCAGCTTCTTCAGTAGCTGGCATCACAAAATCCAGGCCCAGGGCTATCATGCTTCAAGGCCCCACCTGATTCTACTGCACAACAAGGGTTAAAATCCAGCATCTGTTCTGATGGACTTACCCAAGCAGAGACATCTGTGAAGAGGATCATTGTGTGTATTTATTTGATGACAATAGACTGTCACCAAGGACTCTTCCCAAACCACAGCCGCACACAAAAGTCATGATGACCTTGCACACACACACACACACACACACACACACACACACACACACACACACACAAAACCACAGCTTTGCAGCAAGGTCACCCTTCTGTGGCATCTGCCCAGCGGCTGCCTGCACAGCCTCAGTGGGGGAACTTGGCTTCTGCAAACTTCCTCACCTTCCTCTTGGCCCTCCGCCTTCCTTTACTCTCCACCCCTCTGACACCTCTCACCCTCTGTAGCACACATGTGCCATATTGCAATCTTACCACACCCAGTGAGTTCTTTCCTCACTTGCACAGTTGAGCTCAATGCAGTATTTTATATATTAGCTGAGATCCCATTGAGGGAGGGCGTGCTGGCTAGTTTTATGACAACTTGGCGCAAGCTGAAATCATTGGAAAGAGGCAACTTCAATTGAGAAAATGTTCCCAGCCTGTGCACATTTTCTTGATTGGTGATGGATGTGGTGGGGGTGGGCTGGGCTCACTATGGGCCTACCACCTCTGGGCTGCTGGTCCTGGGTTCTCAGAGAAGACAAACTGAGCCAGCTATGAGGAGCGAGTCAGTAGCCATCACTTCCGCTCTGAGTCCCTGCTGTGACTTCCCTTAGTGATGGTCTGTGATGTGACCTGTAAGCGGGAATAAACCATTTCCTTCCCAAGTTGCTTTTGGTCAGGGTGTTTCATCACAGCAACAAAAAACCTAACTGAAACGGAGGGGAATAGGAGTGTCCCTCTCTGCTCAGGCTGCCTGCCAATTGCAGCTGACAGAATAGTGAGCTTCAAAGATGGCCTTGTTTCAATCCACAGGACCTGTGAATATATTTTAGTAAGCTAAAAGGCACTTTACTTAGGTGGGCGGAGTGGGGGGAGTACTTTTACCGCCATCACTGAGAGCTGTGCTCACTGCCTTGGTCTATGCTGCCATCAAGCAGCATGCTGCCAGCTTGGAGATGTGGAGCAGGGCCTCTTAAAAGAGACTTGCAG